TGCCTGGATGCCATGTTTCAGGTTGCGGTGCAAGTTGGTTCGAATAACTGTGCCTTCGGCCGCGAGCTGGGTATGCGTCAGGATGAGGCCAAGCCGTTATTCTTTCGAAAGTTTCAGGCGGTCTCTGACGAACGACTGGTGGCACTCCGCTCGGCCCTTCGTCGCTGGTATAAGTGGCATTCGCAACATGCACCCCGAGATCAGCCCTTCTGGCAGCCTTCTGCACTTACATTGAGCAGCTACTTCCAGGCCGTCAGCCGAGGTGGGCCTACTGCAGCTAGTGCTGCCTTTGCTGCCCTTAAGTTCTGGAGAGACAAAGTGGGTCTTCCCTTCTGCCTCGATGATGCCTTGGTAAGCCACTGGGCGGCCCCAGCACAGGGTCACAAAGCCGTTGGTCGAGATCCGATCCCTTTATGCATCTTCCTGTGCCTCTGCAAGGCAGCCACGGCGGCCACCGGCTCTGTTCGCACCTTTATGTGCCATGCTTTGTTAACTTTGGTAGCTTGCTTACGTTTTCGCCACTTGCAGTGCAGCTTCCGGCTTCATATTGACTCGGGTTTCCTGCGTGGAACCTGCAAGAAAGGAAAGCGCCGGGTCCAGCAGACCAGGCCTCCCTTTGATTGGGCCTGCCCGAGCCAGCTTCCTTTCGGTTTGGATTTGGCACAGCAGATCCTCCTGGACTACGGTGAACTTCAGACCGCCATGGGGGATTCGGCCGATTTTGTTGTCACTGACTATAACCTGCGCTCAGGTGAAGCCTTGACGGCCTCTACCAAGCGATGCTTTCGGCCTATGGGACTGCCGCGCTTCTGTGAGCTCCTGCGCTCGCTGCTTCTGACCCTGGGCATACCGCCTGATGCGGTGGGTTCCTTTACGAGTTACTCACTCCGGAGGTTCCTGCCCACATGTGCCGACTCATTACAGATGCCTGAAGAAAGCAAGGTGGCCATTGGTGACTGGCAGGAGAAGCCTCAGCTCGTTGCTGCGCCCAAACACCGTGCTGCACCAAACAGCATGGCTGTCAGGTATGCACATGATCGAGTGCTCGCTGCTGGTTTCGTCAAGCTTCAGGTTGTGGTCTGCGTAGATGCAGTTTGCAGCAAGTGCGGCATGGACATCACCTGGAATGATCGGCGCATGAACGCGCCCTCGGCAGACGAGACTGCAGAGCTGGTCCGAGCCGAGCGTTGGCATGGATATGCTGCTAAGCCTCGCCCGGTGCCAGCTAAGGCAGACTCCTCCAGCTCCTCGGCGTCTTCTACCTCCGGTGACTCCGATGACGAGGAATCCGAGGCTGAGCTTGCTGCATGGTTTCGACAGTCTTCTCGGGGAGCCCTTCATCTTGTGCAGGGGATGTCGGGCCCGAGATTTATTCCCTATTGTCAAGACGTTCCCTTTGAGGGCCCTCATGTGGAGCGAGGCTCGGGGCTTGAAGCTTCGGACAATGTGTGCCGTAAGTGTCTCGCCCGCGCTCCTGACTATGTTAAGCAGTTCCGCGGTGGTTAAAAATGACCCCCTGCTGCCCTATCGCTACAGTATGGTGCCTTGATCTCTGTATCGGCATGCCTTGACAACTTACGGTTGCGCTGAGCTCTGTGCTCCAGCGTTCGGCCGATTCCCCCTGCCCTTACCCCCTCCCTTGTAAGCCATGGGCCAGACACCTTCGGCGACCCGAGGCATCATCACGCAGATCCTGTTGTCCCTGCCGCCCCACCTGGTGCAGATCATCCGCGACGTTGTCAACTCCCCCGACGTGCGCAGAGATATCCCGCCGCCTACTACGTGCCTCCGGTACAATCAAAGGCGGGATCCTGACGACAACCTCCATGCTTGGAGGCCGGAGCCTTCTACTCAGGCCTCCTCATTCTCGAGTGGGTCGGGACAGGCATCGCAAGCTGCCGAAGCATCTGCGAGCCCCGGTGCCTCCTCAACCGTCTACACCGCCAGACATGAGGACTCGCAGGACTGACCTGTCATGTGGAATCCCCTGCACTACGTGCCTGCACGGTTTCTGCAACCGCAAGTCTGTCCATAGAGGACATAGGTGCATGGCCTGCTTCCGAGGTGAGCGGTAAGGCTGCTGACCGTTCCCTCAGCTGGAACATAGCTATAACTCAGGCCTGGACCATAGGGGTCTTCTGGCTCTGAGAATCGTGCGGTACGCTTGCAAAAATGCCTGCTGTTCTCCCGCTCGAGCCTTGACTTGAGTGTGTTGCAGTCCGGGAGCCGCGCGAGCCTTGCATGCCGTCCCTCTGCAGCTTTTGTCCGAGACAGGATACGTGTGTCCACGCCATGGCCAAAGCGCAACAGGATGCCCTACGCCGCTGCCTTCAGGATGCTCGGCTGCCGGACTCCTTCATTCAGTACTGTGTTGGCGACCTCAAGATGGCCTCCCTGGAGGACTTTGTCAACATCGTCACGATTAAGGACTATGAGCAGGAGCTCAAGACCGTCCTCACCGACAACTGCGCGGACACTAAGGACCAGCCACTGCAGCTCTCCCGTGCTAGGGCGGCCTGGCGTGCGGTCAGAACCATCCTTCTGCGCCAGGAGCACCGTCGCCAACAAGGTGAACCAGTTGAGGAGTTGGACGTTGCGCTCGAGCCCTCGACTCAAGAGACGCTCCTGCAGCAGTTCAAGGCCTCCTACAACCTCAGCATCGACGTGCACTATATGCCGGGGGACACTCTTCTGGGACGACTCTTCCGAGAGTGTCAGCGCATGGCCCCCACAGTGATCTCCATCTCCAAGGTTAGATCGCTGTAC